AAAAAAAAAAAAAAAAAAAAAAAAAAAAAAAAAAAAAAAACAGGATTTAATACCGTAAGAGGGAAACTAATACACACACAAATAAGTCTTAAATTAAAGAGAGATCCCAACAAAATGCAAACATCAGAATAAGAAAAATAGGAAAAAGGGAACGGCCAAAAATTTTTGAATGAAAGAAAGTAGAGGAAAAAACAGTATGGAATGAAAATGATACATCCATAGCAATTTTTAGACAAATCATATCAAATTCAACATAGCAAGGTTATTCTTGTTCATCATCGCCATGAGGGGGAAAGAAAGAAAAAATAAGAAGGAAACGAAGGAAAGGAAGGAGGAAGGAAGAGGGAAGAGATTGGGAGGGCACAGGAAAAGGACGCCGAGTTAAAAAAAAGGATAGGAGAAAAAATAGAAGCTGAAGCTAAAACATTCTAAATAAATTCATATATGTAAGTATATTACTAAGAAATCAATAAAGTGCAAGTATACATATCAATGCCCTTAGAACATAATAAAATACTAAAACCATAAATCAGGAGCAATGCTAAAGCAAAGAGTCAATAGTTATTAATAACATTAGAAAAAAGCAAGTAACAACTATTAATAATACGTGAAACGCTGTCACATTGCTCTAACTGTAAGATACGGACCAACCAGACAGAAACAGAAGCAGTCAAAGGTTGAAGGATAAGCAAACAAAGTAGTAGATGATAGAGGATAAGATGAAGCAGCAAATGATCAAGGGTAAAACAACAGCAGATAGAAGCAGTCAAAGGCACAAAAATAAAGAAGCAGAGCAGTAAATAAGGAGCAACAGAGTGAAACGATAGATGGTGAAGGATCGGAACGGGAAAAATAACAGGTACAAGAGATGAAGACAGAAACGTGTATCACAAATGCATGCAAACTGCAGTATTGATAAGTATTAAATGGAAAAATTAGCATGAACAATAGGTAACTCCTAGTAATATGACACGTAATAAAACATATTCAGCTTACAAAAATTAAGAAACCAAAATTTTTTTAAAAAGTAACAGATTTTCTTTCTTCCCTAATGTTAAAGTATAAAACTATTGTTGGCTCACCTCCTAATAGCTTAAGCTTTTGGGATGAATTGGTAAACTAACATGGTATCAGAGCGGGAGGTCCTGAGTTCAAACCCCCGTAATTGCACTCTTTATCTCCATTTAAAATTGTCATCATGTGTTGGGTCTTTAATATATCTCGGGCTTAAATATTCACGTGTTGGGCTTTCCAATTAATTTACCCACACGATTGCCTATTGTCCAACCCACACGTGAGGGGGAGTGTTAAAATATAAAACTATTGTTGGCCCACCTCCTAACAGCTTAAGCGTTTGGGATGGATTGGTAAACTAACACCTAAATTGCCAAGAATTCTAGATAATTCAAGCTGAGAATGGCGAGGATTCCAAAAAATATAGAAAGGCAAAAAAAACACCGATTCATTTAATATGTCCGTAACAAAAGGAGGAACAAATCATCAATCCAGCAAAGCAAAGGACAACTATAAACAGACCAGATCATCAGCACAATAAATGCAGAAAAAACCAAAAATTACACATACACGACATGGAATCAGCCAAGAGAAAATCCACCGACGCAAATAAAGCACAAAATACTACAACAAAGAAAGCAGTAAGGGAATAAACGCGGGAAAAAAAGGGGAAAAAAATTAAAAACCGTAAACAAAGAAGTATAGTAGATGAAGCAGCCGAAGAAAAAACCCAATAAAGAAATAGATAAATAAGAATAATAGCAACAAATTAATAACAAAACATATGACCCATTAAATATAAGTAGAAACCAAAACGAAGAACGCAAACTAAACCACCAAAGAAGCAAGAAGCAGAAATCAAAGAGGCATAGACGAAGAATATAGGAGAAATAGATCATAAACAGCGAATGGAAACGACAGAAGAATCCAAAAGGAAAAAGGGATAAAAACTCCAGATTTCCACCCAAATCAAAGAGGAAAGAAAAGGGCTCCACCGAGGAAATGAAGAAGGCGGAGGAAATGAGGGAATCAAAGAGAAAAGAAAAATTAGGGCTCCACCGGTTGCAAAATTACCAAAAAAACAAAACCCAAAAATCCACAAAAAGAGAAACAACGGGGGCAAAACCCGAAAAGCAACCCATCACACACGCGGTAAAAGACCAAACCGCTCATGCGCCAGACAAAGGAGGGAATAGTAAATCGAGGGCAAAAATGTCACTCCACTGTAAAAGAAACAGTAACTCTCCTTTAGTATATTTATAAAGTGAAAGCAATAGCATGCAATCTGATTGTATTAAATCTTTGGTGTTTAGTTAACTTGCACGTGAACTACTAGCTTACAAAACTATATTAATAGTGAGTTCAAAACTAGCGGGGTCTCCAGTCCCCAACTGGTCATAATCTGTCAAACTATGACCCATAGTCTGATAAGTTATGTTTGCCGCCAGGTCTCCAATCTCCGGCCGACCATAGTCTGTCAGACCATGACCTATCGTCTAACAAGTTATGTTGGTCGACAAGTCTCCGGTCGCCGACGCCAGCCATAATTTGGCAAGGCTATGATCCATATTCTGTCGCCCCGGGCCCCCCCCCCCAGCCATAATTTGGCAAGGCTATGATCCATATTCTGTCAGACTATGACCCCTAATCTGACAAGTTATATCGGCTGCCGGCCATAGTCTGTCTGACTATGATCTATAGTTTTGGCGCCAAACTATGATCCATTTCAACCGGTTTATGACCCATTTCAACATGTTTAAATCAATTTCCAGGATAAAAAAGTATTGAAAAGTATGCAAATGATTAGCCTAACTAAATAGCAATAGCTTAAGATCAAACAAATAACATAACACATAATCCCTAAAATAAAAGTTTAACAAACAACATAGCACATAATCCTTGAAATAAAAGTTTGTTCATCAGTCCACAACCACAACCACAACCACGAACATAATGCCAAGCCAAGTCTAGAATTCGTAGCACAAATAATCAATATTAACACCAAAACTCAACAAGACAGTAAATTTGTATTGTTGAGAACTCAAATCCAGAATAACAGTAAATTTGTATTGTTGAGAACTCAAATCCAGAATAACAGTAAATTTGTATTGTTGAGAACTCAAATCCAGAATGATTATTTGGCTGCTCATTCAAAAGATAAAAATCCTCATTACATGAAAGAAAGGATCCTCATTCTTCAAGCTAAATTAGAAGATATCATGTGAGATCATCCACTACTTCCTAAAAATCTACATAAAAAATATAAGATTAGTTTCAAATTTCCAAATTACTGTAATGAGTAGAACAAAAGATTTTAGGTAACAAGAAGCCATGTAATAGTGATCAACAAAAGCAGATTCAACCACAAATACATATTTCCTTAAAACTTGCCCAAGTTTGATATATGCTGGATCCAAAGAGGATACTATCCCCCTCCTTCAGCTTAATTGCTCCAGCAACTTCATTTTGAGTTTATAAAATTAAAAGTCAAATAGATGATAAAACCAAAGAGTACATTCTTTAGATTGAAGATGCATAGAAAGTTCTAGAAGTCAAAAAATCCATATTTAAAAGGGGGGGAAAACAAAACAAAAACAAAAGCAAACATACAAAAGCAGCTCAAAGAAGATTTAATGCAGTACCAGCAGCTCAAAAATAAAAGCAGGATGACAAGTATTTTTATCTCGTTGACCTCCTTGTTTGTGAAATCCAATGCAATACGTGAGAGAGGGCCCGCTGCAACAGACAGTAATTGAACAATATTACATGTAGCAACAGCACATGGACGTTTTCCCAATAAGAAAAGATGCTAGGAGGATCTTTCATCTACCTAGGTACACACAAACAACAATAATATCATCAACTACAGTAACAGCAACCAGATTTTCAATCGAAAGCTTTGGTTGTCAAGGCTTCACAAGAAAACAAACATGAAGTGTAGCATTTTTTTTGCAATATATTATCATTCAACTTTCAATACTGTTAATACTTTTAATGAAAAAGCTAATTTACAACTTATTGGATATTATTATTTTCCCAGTTTCCTTATAGCAATAATTCTACACTGGAAGCTTAGTAATTCCTAAGAAGAATTAAAAAAGTCAAATAAAGCCCCTACTAACACACACATATAGGGTTAATCTATTTTCCCATAATTTTGAATATAAAATATATACTAATATACTTGATATCAAGCCTCACAGTCTTAGCACCTTTTTTTTTTCTTTTTTTTCAAGTTTCAAGCATGGAAATTGGAATGTAACGAAATGCTTTTCAACTAAGAAATACAGATAGTAAGGTGATCACTTAAAAAAATGTTATCCTTGGCACACGCTAATCCCTTACATTTTGTTCTCTAAAACCTCTCATAAATATTGACAATCCTTCGTTCTCTTCCATTTGCACCCTTACTCTTTTTATTTCCTGCAAAACATCTCCTATTTCCTGCCATTTTTAAAATGAGTAAATGTCAACAGAATTGAACAGCCACTGGCTCATAAGTTTCTTAAAATTATCAAATCGTTGAACCTCTAAATTAGCTAAAAAGCTCCACTACTTAGCCAGATACAAATTTAAGTCTTGGCTTTCTTGACTATTGCATAAAGGAAATTGAAATGCTGCATTCCACTCCTATCAAATTCTCAACCGATCTTCACTAAGCTAACTTTCTCTTACACAACCATAAACCAAACAAAATCAATTTCTAGACCGGTAAATTCGACAAAAGCACCAATTAACTCACCGTGGAAACTCCATTGACGGCTTTGGAATCATCTTGAGTTTCAGAGAAACCAATGAACATTCACTGAAACATTTTAACAAACATTTATAATGCAAACTTCAACTGAAACCAAAAACCCATCGAGAAATTATCGTAGCGAAATAGGCATCGGCCATCCCCGGTAACCCTCTGAACCAAATAGCGTTCAACTTTCTTGGTGGCCGGTGATCCTCTACTTCCACTACATCAAAACCAATGAAGGACACGAAAAAACTTTTCCAAAGCATTTATCTATCTAATCTAGAAAATATATGAAATTAAGAAATTAAAATATATGTGGAACAAATATGAAAAGCAAAGAAAGAAAAGAAATTTATATTGACAATCCAATTCTGGCAAAGAACCGGTGGTTGGGGTCTCCGAGAAACGAATAATTGAGAAACGATAGATCTTCTAGCAACTTCATCGGCACTCCGGCGAGGTAGATCAGGATGGAGAAAGAGAAGGCGCATCGGAAGGGAGAGACAGCCGGATCTCATCGTCTGCGTGTCGCTCCGTCGATCCTCCATCTCGTCGCCGAAGCAGAGAAATCTTCACCAAAGGAAATCTGCATGTCTGCGACGGCTTCGACGGAGGCGGAGAAAAAGAGGAGAGAGGGGAGCTTCTGGCGGAGAGGAGAGAGTGGGACGAAAGAAGGGAGAGAGAGATCCGAGGTCGATGTGCGCGGGGCTAAGCCGGCGGGAGGAGAGAGAGTGAGACGAGAGAAGGAAGAGCGATGGCGGACAGAGGGGAGGCGAGAGAGGAGAGAGGAAGTGGCGGAGATACAGAATATAGGGTTTAATCATTTAAGATATTATTGAAATATTAAAAATAAATAAAAGGAGTAATATGTTTTAAGAAGGTAAGATATGTAATTCTCTTTTTTAACGTAAGGTACGTTATTTTTTGAAATATATATATATTTTTTGGGAAGATATTTAGAACAAAAATGTTGGATCTCATATAATTTATTGTTTCTCTTACAAGATAAAAACCTTTTTAATTAACTAGTTTTGGAGAATTGCCCTGCAAGTGTTTGCCATGTGTGAGTCAGCTGCACGATTTATTAGACAAACTCATTTTAATTTTAAACATCTAGTCATAGAAGAGTTTAAAAAATAATTAAATGGATATATAACTTTCGATGAGGCACATTTAAAAATTAGATTTTAAAAAAATGGTTGTGTTAAAATTTGTGTTTCAATCATGTATGTTTTTGTCGAATATTATATTTTCATCAATAAAATAAAAATATTAAGATATATTTAATGTGCAAAATCAAAAAGAAAATTAATTAGGGTGTACACGTGAACAAGAAAAGGATATGTATAGGCATACTTGAGCATAATTATTGAGTAGTGGTTTTTCTTAATATCAAAATATATTTAAAAACAAATCAAGTTCAAAACTAATTAGGTATGAAAAGGCTAAAAATGCTTGTTTAAGGATATATTCGGGAAAAAAAAAATACTTCAGTGGAGTAAACAAGAATAAAAAAATAGTCAAATACATGTAACCTAAAATATATAGAGAATCGAAAAAAAAAAAAAAACTATTTCAATAAGGATGTATTAAAGTTATTTAACTGAGAAATTAGTAAAAAAATAATTTAACGATGGGGATTTGACAATATGTACGAAGAAGGGTTGAATAAGAAGAAACATAAATATAGGACAAATGTGTAACAAAATAGCAAAAAGCCAAAAAAGGGGAACGAAACGTCCCGACGCGTCAGGCACATAGTCAAGCAGATTCACGCTTTTAATATGTAGGATAAAGTAAAATTTTAGTAACCAAAAGTTTTCAAATTTAAAAGGACAATCTATTTATTACATAACTTGATAAAAAAAAATGTTTTTCTTACAAAAAAATTGATAAAAATTGCAATTCACTTGCTGCTTGGCAAAGGAAAACTTAAAATATGTAGCGTATGTTTAGTATATGGATTCTGCAACAGTGTGTTAGGATTAAAGATTGTAATTAGTAGATTGTTAGAATTCTATAAGAATAAGGGACACGTGGACTTATGTAATTGGTTTAGCCTAGTGATTAGTTAGCTGGTCAGAATTGTATTTAATTAACACTTTGTATAGTTGCTCATTCATTCAATACAATAGATTATTCATTTTCAGAATTTCTTTATACTCAATTCTTTAGAAACTTTTTAGGTTTACTTACATAGTATCAGAACTACTTCCCGAAATTGGAAATATCACCGATAAACGACATTTCTTCTCGGTTCGTTCCAGTGTTTTTTACTCATTCAATCTCGTTAAAATTGGACATCAACAACTTCATTGTTGGCGGAAACAGGTTCTTTCTATGATTCATGGTCATCGATTGCTTCATTTTCTTTCTTCTTATTCTCTTCCACCTCCGTGATTCAAATTGTCAGTTGATGATGCTTCCGGAATTGTCAACCCTGATTTTCTTGATTGGGAGCAATAAGATCAATTGATCCTCTCTTGGTTATTTTCTTCCATGACGGATGCAGCAATATGGTCTATTTTTTTGCTCATAAACTCATAAATTTAGAAGATTTTTTTTCATGTAACCAAAAATATATAAAATTAGCTACGACCCTTCCAATATCAAAGCATCAAACTAATAACTCCAAAAATATTATAATTTCTCATATTTATGAAGCACAATCAGATAAAACCATCACAATATAAAATATGAGAACCATGATTGATTTATTTTCATACATAGAGGTCGACAAATGTTAAATAACAACCAAAAATGAAGGTTTTCGAAGAAAATATCATCATAAAAATAGGAAAAACTCATACCCATTAGAAAGAAGAAAAAGTATAATCATCAAGAAAAAAATTAGTATTTCCTACCAACCTTCTTTTGTTATGCACTCGCCAAAGAGGGAGAGCATGAGAGATCGAGTGACAATCTCAAAATCGAAGAGTGAAATGGTGGCTAGGGCACATATTGAACCCGCCAAATTTTCCTTCATGTACAAAGAAAGGGGAAAAAACTTACTTTCCCAAACAAAAAAAAAACACACAGAAATCAAGTGATCAAGGGCTCACACCAACAACAACTTGTCTTTGGTAATGACCAGCCTCCTCTCACAAACCCACATAGAGTTTGTCAAAATCCAAAGATATAGAGAATACAGAACAGTAGAAAGAGAGGCGGCCAAAGTGCAAAGTGCACGAAAGTATTACAAAGAGAGTGTGAACAGAAAACGAATCTAAGTACCAAACATTCTTTAAGACATTTTTTTTTATCTGACCTAGGAGCTTCTACGAAGGAGAGGAGAAGAGAAGTGAGAAGACGAAAAAGCCCCTGCCTAGCAAAGCAAAAAGAGAAAAAAGGGGCAGATCAAACATTTCGAGGAGCAGAATCGAAAATTTACTGTTCAAACAACAGTAAACTTCGACCACCTATAGTAGTACTGTATAATATAATTATTTCGGATATTTAGCAGGAAATCCCAATTAATAATAAACAAAAAGTGTGCGGGCATTCATAAATACACGGAAGTACAGGGGTATAATTACAAAAATTTAATTGTTTCTTATAAATCGGGGGCATTTCACCGACCTATTATCACTTTCTTCTTTGTTTTCTGGAGGCAGAGAGAGAAAACAAGCATCAGAAGTACTCAGAACTATCTTGTTCCCAAAGAAACCAGTATGGAGAGGCTTCAGAGGATGTTCGCCGGAGCCGGCGGAGGAGCTTTGGGACACCCTCCACCGGATTCGCCCACTCTCGATTCGTCGGAGCAGGTCTACATCTCCTCGCTCGCCCTCCTCAAAATGCTCAAACACGGTACGCCGTCATTTTCTCTCTTTCTATTCGATCTCGTCTTCTTGATATTTTCCGTTTGGTTCTTCGCATTTAGCTGGTTCTTTTACTTCTAGACCTAGTTTCTGGTTTTAGGGTTTCCTTGTTTTCCTGATTCGTTCGCCCGAATTAGGGTTTATTGCTATCGTTTTTGTTTCCTCTCTTTTGAATCTAAGAATGAAATTTGAGGAATCGAAACCCTAATAGAGAACATAGTCTTTTTTTTTTTTTGTGAAATCGTATAGCTAAATAGGAGTTCACTGGGATTTGAGGTTCAATTTGGGTATATTTTGATCTGTTTCTTCGGGATTTGACCCCTTTTTAGGTAGAGCTGGGGTTCCCATGGAGGTAATGGGACTGATGTTGGGAGAGTTTGTGGATGAGTACACCGTTCGTGTTGTCGATGTCTTTGCAATGCCTCAGAGTGGTACTGGTGTTAGCGTCGAAGCTGTTGATCACGTTTTCCAGACCAACATGCTCGATATGCTTAAACAGACTGGAAGGTACTTCTGCTTTTATTTGAATTGGCGTTTTACTGATGGGGTTATCGGACATAAGTTATTCCCAAATCTAAAATTAAGTCATTTGTCTTAAGTTGAATGAACTCATTTCCTTACCTGAGAAAATACTGGAGAAAATAAAGTATGTTTGTTGACTTGTGATGATATGTATTCCTGATGATTCTTTTCATGCACTGCTGCTAATCTCTGTGAGTTATTTTTTGCTTATATGTATTCCTGATGATTCTTTTCATGCTCTGCTGCTAATTTCTGTGAGTTATTATTTGTTTATATGAAGAGTGGTGTATTGTGAATGGAAGATGTCTAGTTTGGTTAGTTATTAAGGCTCCCGTTATTAGCAGCCATCTGTGAGAGTTGGCTTATTGATGCCATAGTTTGTTTAGCTCTAAATTTTGTTGCTACTTGTTATACATGACATCATTATGACTATCCAGATTGCCCACTAATATTGTACTGGTTTGGATAAATCTTGCAGACCAGAGATGGTTGTTGGGTGGTACCATTCACATCCTGGGTTTGGCTGCTGGCTGTCTGGTGTTGACATTAACACGCAGCAGGTTATATTTATTTTCTGTCTCTTTGAAATAGAATTTGTTTCTCGTCATTTTCCTGATGTTGAATTGTAACTCGTATTTCTCTCTCCTTGACACTTATATGTTGATAGTTCTCGGATGTATGAATAAGTAGTGTAGTTTTACTTTTCAAATCACGGAATAGCCCTGAACTACAAATGTGTGAATTATCCTCTGTTACTCTGTATGAGCTGAGTTTAGATATATTAACCTATAACTTGGGTCCCAGCTACCTAGTGAATTTCGTTTAAATAAACATTTTTTTTCTCTTATGTACAGAATACATGTTTTATTGTAACTGTTTTACATATAATTATACGCATAAGCCATAATGCTAATGCAGAGTGATGTTTGTTTAATTAGGAGGTTAATGCTATAGCTATACCCTAATTATAATTTGACTGCATATTTCTCTGTAGAGTTTTGAGGCATTGAATCAACGAGCTGTAGCCGTGGTGGTGGATCCAATTCAAAGTGTAAAAGGAAAGGTGGTGATCGATGCCTTTCGCCTCATCAACCCACAAACGATGATGCTTGGCCAAGAGCCACGACAGACCACATCCAACCTTGGCCATCTTAATAAACCATCCATTCAAGTGAGTGCAGGAAAAAAGAAATAAAACGTTTCCGTTTCCAATTATCTTGTATTTACAATGTTTTGACCTTTCATGACTCCTCTTTCAGGCGTTGATACATGGTCTGAACAGGCATTACTACTCTATCGCAATTAACTACAGGAAGAATGAACTTGAGGAGAAGATGTTACTTAACCTTCACAAGAAGAAATGGACTGATGGTCTAACTCTTCGGAAATTTGATACCCATTCCAAAACTAATGAGCAGACCGTGCAGGTAAGGATTCGTGAGTCTTCAAGTGGTAGTTACCTTATCTGTCATGGTGGTTTTTCTTTTTGGTTTATGTTCACTATTAGCTATCTATAGGGTTTTTGGTTTTTTTTTTTTTTCTCTGCAGTCATAGATAAACTGTAAAATTTTTCTCAATACCTTGCCTTAAGGAACCTTGTGTATTATCGAGAACTTCTATATGCTTATCCTTCGCCCCTTTTTTATTTAATTTTGGTTTAGCAGTGGGTTAAATAATTTTCTTGCTTCAACTTTTGTGCCTCATTCAGAGAAATCTGGTAATACTTTTGGCCACCTTGTCTCTGGTTTATCAGTAGGTTAATCAAGATCAAGTCATATCTTATAAAACATCTATCAGCAGTATTTCTTGCCTAACAACTATTTCTATGCAATGAAACAAACTTTTAGGTTCATGCAAGATTCATTTATTTTGACACCATAGATTCTTGTGGTATAATAAACTAGAATTCTACTGCCCAAGAGGTTTGTGATTTTCGTAATTTTTTCGTGGATTCGGATTTTGATTTTCCTGATTAAATTCAGTTTTTGAATTATTATGCGCCTCAGTGAACATGCTTTCCTATATAATCCGGCTGTTAACTTGTGAAAGGCATTTGACCATTTGTTTGGTTTCGGATGTTCAGGAGATGCTTAACTTAGCAGTAAAATACAACAAGGCTGTACAGGAGGAAGATGAATTGCCTCCTGAGAAGCTTGCAATTGCAAATGTGGGAAGACAAGATGCGAAAAAGCATCTAGAGGAACATGTCTCCAACTTAATGTCTTCCAACATTGTTCAAACTTTGGGAACAATGTTGGACACTGTTGTCTTTTAGGGTTTTTTTTTTTTTTCAAAGCCAATCCATGAAATATTGTGTTGAACCAAAAAGAAGCAAGCCCTTTGATTCCTTTGTAAGACCCTGTAGTCTTTATGATCTCATAGGCTTGCATGCAATTGATAGCACCATTCAGATTTGTTCCTGTTCTGCTTAAATTTCTCTTACTGAATATTTTACTTATTAAACAAATTCCTTGTGTTGGACTTGAATTGCATGTTGCTCTTTATAAAATGGTTATTCCGTTAGCCGGCACTTTCTCATGTGTGTGTAAGCGATTGCTTAAAGTCTCGGATATGTGCACGCCGCTTGATTTTAAGTTGTTAAAGCTCGTTTCTCGTGATTTTAATTGTCGGCCATTTTCATCCCAAAGCTAAAAGATAGAGAAGATATTTATTATTTCTCGACTGCCAGATACTTAATTTAACCAAAGTTTGATGAAAATGACATTTTTCAACACTCTATATAAATGACAAGCACAATAAGCTAGCTTTAACAAGAGAAAGCTAAAGGGTTTAACTTTAACCTAAGCCTTTTACATCAATAAATGACAAAAGCAACTAAATGGGGTTCAAAAAGATACGGGCGAAATCACACACCGTCATTTTTCCACGCATTACCAATAGGACACTGGTTTATTGCTCTAAAAAAGTCTCCTCCATACAAGTCCACAGTAAACCAACTTCTTTATTTTTTTTGGGTTAAACTGTTCCAAATTAATCACCCTTGCTTTACAAAAGCGGCCAAACGCTTGATCAAGCTCTCAGCCTTCTCAGATTCCGGCTTAAGGAGATGAAAGATGTGATCCTCTCCTTGAGTCTCCTCAATCTCAATTGTCCCTTCCCACGTGCTCTCCTTCACCTTCTCGTAATAAAGCTTCCCTCTATCCCTTAGTATGTCCTCCCCAGCAACAAGAACAAGTATTTTACCGCAAGCTTTCAACCCCTCGAGACTCGGGGCTCCCTCTGCAAACGGGTTGATAAGCGGGTCGTCGTTTCCCTTCTCCGAAGGACATACGACCTTCCACCACCGGTCCACCATCGTTCTCCGAACCGGATCCCCTGCCTCCAAACCCACCAGATCCTCACCCCAAAAGTAGGGATGAATCAGACCAATCCCAGCTATCTTCAGTCCATGACTTGGATCCGAGTCCGACCCGGATAATCGACAAACCATGTGGTGTGCGATGCTAGCTCCGGCGCTGTCCCCGAGGAGGAACACGCGGTCCAAATCCACGTCATCCTTCAGCCACGGCTCGGCGGCGGCGGAGTCGGAAGCGAGCCACCGAAGCGCCGCCCAGCAGTCGTCGTAGGCGGCGGGGAGAGGGTTCTCGGGGGCTAACCTGTAGTCGACCGAAACGACGGCGATTCGAGCGGCGGCAACCAGCCGGTTCAAACCGTTGTGGTAGACCGGGTCGGCTGTCGATGATATGAAGAAACCTCCTCCATGAAAGTAAACCGCCAGAGGAAGCTTCTGGTTCCTGTCGAGGTTTTCAGTGTCAGGACGGTACAGTCTGGCGGAGACGCCGGTTTCCGGTACGACAACGACGTCCTTGGAAACGACGCCAGTTTGAGGGTCCAGACCCGGTGGGGTGACTTGGGTCCCGGCCAGCCGCTCGATGGTTCCGTCCTTGTAGAGCCGGAGAAACGGAAAGGCATCAATTGAGACTTCTGCTGATTTGGTCGAGCCCATTGTGGGAAAAAAAAACACGACAATAAGTGAAGTGCATGTGAGAGAGGTAGGCGGAGGGGTTATTATAGTTGGAACGTCAATAGGAGAGAGACATGGGCATGGAAAAGATTTAGTGCTATTTAGTTGACTTTAATTTAAATTAAGATGTAATTTATGTGAGAATTTTTAATTATAATAAAAAAATTAAATATAATTATTTTTTTAATATTTATTATAATAAAATTTAAATTTAAAATTTGAATTAATAAAATAAACGGGATTAAATTTCCTCAATTACAGGTGGGCGTTGATTTACTTACACCGACAAAATTGATATGGGTTTGAAGTGATTAGGGTCGTATAGATTTTTTTTTTATTAGCAAAAAAAAAAAAAACAGAATTATACGACAAAATAATTAGGCTGAGCATGTTAATGATGTGATAATAATATATATTTTATGACCTTTGAGTATATGACCAACTAATTGTAGAGATGATTCCCAATAGACTTCGGAGCCACCCAGACTACTAATCAAGGGTTTGGTGAAAGGGAATTATGAACTCGCCACCGAAGTACGTCTAGTTTGTTGGGTTTTAAAATATCATTTCTTGTTTTGAGTATTGACTAGTTGGAGGATTAAAAAACAAATAAGAAACCAAGGCGGGCAAGAAAATAATTAGAAGACAAAAGCAATATCAGTATTTTTTTTTCATTTTCAAAGAAAATAAAAGTTAGGTACAAGTTGAAGCACTAAAGAGCAAAAGCATTGAAGTTTCTTTATTTTTATTTGTTGGTGGGGTACACCCTGAATGATAATTAAATCGAATTCGTGATTTCCAGCAATAATGGGAAGATATAAATAAGAAGATTATTGTTTTGGACAAAAATTGCTTTTATCGTTTGAAACCCGTAGTCGTTTTTGTTTTGTTTTTTGTTTTTTTTGTTTTTTTTTTTTTCTAAACCTAACATCAATATTAGTGTTGAAATTTTGAACGGGTCGTCTGCGATCGCTTAAAAATTTTAATTTTTAGCCTGACGCCCGAACCTGCCCGCCTAACGCCCGAACCCGCCTGCCCGAGCCCGAAAAGGTCAACGGACGGGATGCGGGCCTAGTTTTGACTGTCCGAGCCTGGTCAAGCAGCCCGAGCCCACTCGAGTGGCCTAAAAAAATATATTTTATTATATTTTTTAAATTTTTATAATATTGTATATATATATTATTTGTACATAAATAATTATTAAGTTATTTTGTGTTAAAATTATACAAAAACTAAAATCAACACACATTATTAATACAATTTAATAAATTAAATTTGTATATTAAATTTTAAATTTGTAATTCATGATTGCTTCGTTAAAAACATTACCAAGAAAAACCCAATTGGGATTAAAACTTGGTAAGAAAAAAAGAATACAATCATTTTGTGACGAATTATAAATTTTACAAACTTTCAAAGTCTAAATATACAATTACAATATCGAAAGTAAATACATATTTACAAATTACAATTTAGTTTGAAGTTGAAGGATCATCTTCAAAATTAAATATTAATCTATTAAATTTATCGATTCATTCTTAACTTGCTAGCGAAATTGTATCCACTAAACAATGATCGGCACGATCTTAATCCTTAATGCAGACCAATGCTATGTGTAATTTAGAATAGCAATATTTACATTGAGCTATGTGTTTAGTGTTACTGTCATTGTCAACATCCTCAATTGTGTCGAAGTGATCCCAAACTGTCGAGGTGCGCTTGCATTTTCTCTTGGAGGTTGCAACACTTGTACTCGCCACTTCTCCACGCCCACCACCATTGCGACCACGACCTCCAGTACGTCCACCACGGCTCAGATTTGCAGGTTCCTCAGTTGATTGTGTTTGCGATTCCTGCGTAATAAATTTATTCGTAGGAAATTGTCTTTCTTCCACGTTATGTTGAGCATCAACAGGAATACCAACATAACCAAAATAATCTAATATAAAAAATAAGAGCGATTCTAGAGAGAGAGCTTTAGGATATTTGTGATAGTTATTGGAAAAATTATGTGAGAGATTGAGAGAAATTGAGAGAGATTGAGAGAGTTTGGGTGAGAAAAATGTTGGGGGATGGGGGAGTATTTATAGGGAAATATTTGGGTTAAAAAATTGATTTTTTTCCCTCAAAATTCGGATCCAACGGCTACTTTCAATTTTTGACGGGTCGGGTTCGGGCCGAAATTCGGGCAACGATAAAAAAAAAAAAAGCCGTTGGAGTTGGGCGACGGGTCAGGTCGGTGCCAACGGTAAAAAATCTAGCCGTTGGTCGGACTTCAGGTTCAGGCAATTCGGGCTGGAGGGAAAAAATTTTAAAAAAAGTCCAACAATCGTCAGTTGAGTGCATTCTTTCGGCGGCGGGCTTCGACGATATCGTCTAATTTCGGGCAGCCCGAGCCTGAGCCCAAAAAGTTCGGACTTCGAATAGAGCCGTTGGCCCAAAGTTCTAGCACTAATTAGTACCATATGCAATTCACCAGTCCATCCTTTACAAATCGTTATTTTAAACTATCATCATCTTGTGTACGCTTATTTCATGCAAGGTAGTGGCCTACAATCGCTCCAATAAACAATACTACGACTCTCCTAATATCTTTATATTTTGTGGGCTATACGTACACGTGATCTATATATTCCCCAGAAAGTAAAAACTAATTATTAAAGCTTGACTCCTTCAAAAAGAATTAAAGGCTAAAGATTGATCACATCAGAAAGAACATTGCTAAGAACATTAGAACTCCGCCATACAAGCTTTGGTGGCAGGGACTTTTAAACACTGGCAAACCGTACAACATCAAACCGTAAACACAAGATAACATTAACAATAATCAAATCAAATCAGAGGCGGCCTGTCTCTATTGAAGAAAGCCGCCAACCGTCGGATCAAGTCCTTTGAAAGTTGGCCATCCAAATCATTCAAATAAAAAACATGATCTTCGTCTCTTGTCTCTTCAATCTCGACTACACCCATCCAGCCACTCCTACTCAGCACATCATAATACAACCGACCCCTATCCCTCAACATGTCCTCCGCCACACAATCCAACACCCTCCCGCACCCAAGCCCCGCCAAGCTCGGCGCACCCTCGGCCACTGGGTTTATCATCGGATCATTGTTACAAATTCTGACGAAGGACAAACGAACGGCCAAATCGGATCCACAAATGCCTTCTTCTCCGGGTTCGATGCCTCCGACCCGATTGGAACGGAGCCCCAGAAATACGGGTGCGCCAGGGCCAGGCCCAAAAGCCCAATACCAAGCCCACACTCGGGGTCTCCAGCTGCCAAGGCCAAGTTATGGGCAATGTTGGCGCCGGCGCTCTCTCCGGCTAAGAACACGCGCCCGAAATCCGCGTGGTCGTTGAGCCAGGGCTCGGGGCCGTTACCGCCGTGGTGGGATATGATCCAGTGCAGCGCGGCCCAGGAGTCGTTGAATGCAGTCGGGACGGGGTGTTCTTGGGCTTTCCGGTTATTTACGGAGACGGCGAGGCCTTTGGCTTGGGCGACGAGGGCGTTTAGGTAATTATGGCACTTGGGGTTGATCGGGGAGGAGACGCAGAAGCCGCCACCGTGGAAGTAAACGACGAGAGGGAGCTTGTTGAATGTAGTGTCATTTGAGTGGGGAGGTAGAGGCGGGCGGTTATGCTGGATTCGGGGAAGTAAAAGCATTTTTGGGGATTGAGCAAGTTGCTGAGCACTTTTGGGTTGCAACGGCGAGTCTCGCGCTCGATCTGTCAATGTGAGGCCTTGCCCTGTCGGATTCGCGTCGCCATGGGAGCGCCCTTCGAGGTTCGAGGCCTTCTCTTCGTGGATGCAACGGCGAGGCATTCTCCGCTGATAATCGCGACGATTTGTTTTTGGTAGGTAAGGCCTCCAAACGGAGGAAAGAGATTTTTAGGGAGCGAGGGATCTTCCCTTTTTCAAAAACTTAAATGCTTTCGAGCAAAAATTCGTGTTATAATTTATGACTCGTTATAATATTTTTTTTTTAAAATATACTTAAATTAAAAATAATTTTAAAGTATAATTTTAAAATTATAAATTAAACGTACACTTATTTATTTAGACTTTTTTTTCCATATTTTAAGAATTTTTTTCATAGTTTTCCTTCTTTATTTTTAAAGATATTTTAGACATTTTAAGGTCAAAATTATGTCTTAGACCAGAAAATGTATAGATTTACATATTAAATACAATATGAAAGTATATATTTAATGAGATTAAAAACTGAAAGTATAAACTTAAAATATAAAGTATGAAAATGTAAATAACCCTAAAAAAAAGTGTAAAACTTGCATACTTAGTGTTATTTTTGTTATGTTCTAATGTGTATTGTAGTTATTTCAAATAATGAAATCTACTTGTTGTTATAATTATAGTAAATCTGTTCTAATTTTAGGGGGGCATACGCCCTCGGGTGTAGCGTCCCTCTACCCCTATTTGGATTGGAGATGTTTTTACAGGCTAAAGTGTGATTATTTCTGCTAAAAATTATAATGCACGGCATGTTTATACGAGTAAATTTGAGATTAGCAATATTTTTTTGGAATCCTTTTAAAATTTCAAGATCATTTATTTTTAAATCATATCCTACAATAATTAAAATTTTCTTATTTATAAAATATTTTAAATTGTTTGTATATAATTCACGACTCGGGTTCAGATCTGCTCTATTATCCAGCCCAGTCATTAAGAACACAAAACCAAAGCCCAAATGACGCTCCGTCCCTCCCAGTTAGGGGTGTAAATCGGCCGGGTAGGGTAGGGCTGAGCCAAAAAATTGAGCCTACCCGACCAGTGCAGGTTGAGAAAATTTTGAGCCGCGATACTCTCTTAAGTCTACAAACCCGCAACCTTTTGGGTGACCTCGGGTAGGGTCGGGTTACTCGGGTTGGTGATCTTAAGAACCACATGATCACTTTTTAATCAATTAATCTGTGCTTGTTACAGAAGAAATCATTATCAAACAGAACATGTCTTTCCTTCAAGAGGGGGTTTAAATGCAAGGTGAACAATTAAAACACTCACTTTGAAATCAAACACTTCCAATATAAATAAAGAATGTCCTAATTCAACAACTATGTCATACAAGTATTTTTTACACAAACCGTGAATCCAAAACATAAATAAGTTAACAGTTTAAATGCATAAAGTCCATAAACTTATGAAAGTAAGAATTTGAAGTATTGGACATTGTTTTACCTACTTTGAACATATTCGGCCGGGTAGGGTTACCTCGGGTTCATGTAACCCCACCCCACGCCCCTACCCGCGCAGTGCGGGTTAGGCATAATTAAAATTGAAAATTAAATAAAAAATTAAAAACCTGTAATTTTTGAGTAGGATCGGCTCGGCTCGGCCGGGTTCGGGGTGATTTCTTACGGCCCTACTCCCAGTCCCACTCAGCCCCTCAGTTTCCACCCATACCGAAATTGTCGTATTTCCATTTTATTACGTTAGCCTTTTCCATTGACCCTGCCCGTAAACGAAAACGACATAAAAAAAAAAGCCCAGAATTCAAGCTCGCCACTTTTACCTTTCCCGTTTTCTGCAGAGAGAGAGAGAGAGAGAGAGAGAAGTGAGAAATGGAGAAGATGGTGGCTCTGAGATCAGTATACCGGTCGGCCTGGTCCAGATCTTATCGCGTGGCCGCCATCAACCAGCAGCTGCTCCGCCACTACTCCGCCGCTCGAAACCTCTTCAATTTCTCATCGCCGCCCACCTCTACTTCTTCTCCCAACGGCCTCGCTTCTTTTGGTATTCTTTCTTCTCTTCAACTAAGCCTCCGAATTCATTCTTCGTCTTTCTCGTATAAAGTCCTTTTTCGACACAGATCAATTATTTTTTCTCCTTACTTTGTCATGCTATTGAAATCTTTTCACTTGAACAGTTTGAATTTGTTCTTCTTGTTACGATTTGAACTTTTCGCCCCTTGTATGTTTGATTATATGCCTGAATGATCAATTTGACACCGAATCCCCCTTTTTGATTCCGAGTCTTTTTATTTTCTCTTCTTGAAGCAATTGAAATGGGACAGATTTTAGTATACATGTAATAATATACGCATGCCTGGTTGTCTACGTATATAGATATTCATATTTGCAATTGATTTACTCTGGCATATATTCAGGATCTAAATTTCAATGCACTTCTTAATAACTTACTACGAACTTGCAGCTCTAGAAGCTTATTAGGCACGCCTGAATTATTTTAGATGTTGTACCAAATCACTTGCGTTAGCCTGTGATTTGCTTTTATGGAGTTCGGGACCTTTTTTTTTTTTTTTTTTTTCTCTTTTGGGTATATGCATATTTACAATTTCAAAGGACAGAATCTTAATACTGCATAAATGATGCATCAACATTAATGGGGGTGCAATAAAACCCATTTCCTTATTTCTTATCCTTATACATTTGGTAGACCTTTTGGCCATAAGTATTGCAGTGTGTTGCTAGTTGCAATGTTCGTTATCTAATTGGAGTTTGTTCGTTCTAAGAGTGTTTTGTTTATTATACTATTGTTACGTTCTTTTTTAGATAGCTGTTAAGTTGTTATTTTTTCTCCGTAATTTTGTAAACTATAGATTGCAGGTCTCCTTTCTCAATGGGTTTGGGAAGTAGACGATTTTTTAGTGAAGATGTAACTCACGTGCCTCTCATAAAGGACCCTGAGCTAGAAAGGGCTTTCAAGGATTTGTTTGCTGCCAGTTGGGACAAACTCCCGGATTCTCTTCTCCTTGAAGTAAAGTCGGCATTGAAGAAGAGCAATGACGAAGCTGGCAAGGAGGCAGTGGCCAATGTTTTTCGCGCGGCTGAAGCAGTTGAAGAATTTGGTGACATAATCACGAATCTTAAGATGGATTTTGATGACACCATTGGAATGGCTGGCGAGGTATTGTATTGAGCATGGAAGATAACTTTATGTTTCTTCTTTTCCCTCTCCAATTCTGATCAGTTTGATGATTTTAACTTGTTTGTAGAATGTCACGCCCTTGTCAGACGAGCATGCGAATGCACTTCGTACAATCTTCGCTCGCTACTCTGCCTACTTGGATTCATTTGGTCCTGATGAGGCCTTTTTGCGTAAGAAAGTGGAGACGGAGCTGGGAGCTAAGCTGATATTTTTGAAGATGAGATGCCGTGGGCTGGGTGCCGACTGGGGAAAGGTATAAACAGATACAGAAAAACTTTGGTAGTTGTTGTCTCTGCAAGTAACTCTTGCAATATCATCCCAACAACGTAGCATTCCAAGCAAAGAAAAGTTTCTAACCATATGGCACATGCGAAATCAGGTTTAAAAACTAGCAAATTTAGAGTACGTTAGCAACTGCAAACTCTGTTTTCTAATCTTTTTTACCCTCTCTGGAATGTGAATTAGGAAGGGGACTCGCCGTAAACTTATCAAACGATGCTTTGCCTTAACGCTTTGTCATTTCTGCAAAGCTAGTTGCTCGGCGCTTACTGTTATTTTGTTTGCTGAATGCAGATAACAGTTCTCGGTACTTCGGGGCTTGCTGGGTCATATGTGGAGCAAAGAGCTTAACTCAAAGCTTCGAGATTTTTCAATATTTGTGATCTTTCTTGTGTTTAGAATCATGTTCCTGAATGTTTCGAGAAAGACCTGCATATCCTTTCCTCAGAAAACCATAAATTTCAGGCTGATGGCTGTTCAATAAGAGCTTTATCTTTGTCGACGATAATGCTGGAAGAATATGACATCTTTTTTTTTTTTTTTTTTTTTTTTTTTTTGACGAGAATTCTGGAAAAAAATTACATTTTTTTTTTTTTTTTTTTTTTTTTTTTTTTCATTAATAACCTAGAATCCGACAAATTTTGTTGCAGTGCACAACCGAGTTGCCTCTATCTCAATATAGCGTAAAGTCACTGGTGCGCTTGTTTCCTTTTGCAGAAAGAATTTTAACTAGTTGTCACATGCAAAATGACAATTTAACATTGGGGACACAAGCAATGTTTTGCAATAATCCACTACTTTTGCATGGAATGAAATATCTATCTTAACGAAGTAGTGGCCTCAAATCAGAAGGTACCTATTGCTTTGATTTTTAGCCAGGTTTTTTTTTTTTTTTTTTTTTTTTTTTGGTTTCCCCATTCGTGCTTGGACATGTTGATTTCATCTCAAATTCAATTTATAATACAATGTAGCTTTTCTAACCATGCCATGCCCAGTATTGAACCTTGTTTTTATAAACAGCAGATGTAGAATTATAGATGCTATATTTCCAATCAAAGAAAAAGATGTAGATGTTTTACTGATGGCTATCCCTCATGTATCTCTCCGTGCTTCTTTTATTGAGAAATTGAAATGTTCCTTGCATTCTTTTTCTATAGCTGGAGTTAATGTTTTAGATGAAACTGTTGGCTAAGGGAGCTGCGCTTTTTTTTTTTTGAAATTCAATGTTGATAATAACCCCACCGTGCCGGGAAGTATGAAAATATGATAACTTGTGAATTTTACGTTATAAGTTACAAACTTCAAACGTTGGTATGTAAGTTACAATAGCTTTATGAATTTTAAAAGAAACGATACCTTGTGAATTTTAGGTTAGAATTTGCATACAATGATACAATTGCAATTAGAATTTGCATACTCAGAAGGATGCAACCCCACCCTCCTGGCCTTAGCAGCATAAATCAGTGTCCAACTAGAGCTTGAAAACGAAGTAGTTGGTTGTGTGACTGGGGCCTACTTAGTTGGTTTTTTAATCATCAAAAAACAAAAATCAAATAAGGTGGTGTGAGCTCTGTCCAATTTGGTGAAGTCAAACAAAGCATGCTTTTTTGATGGCTTAGTGTGCGCTCGGGTAAGTGGGATGGGCTCTGCTCAACCATCTATCATGGTGATAAAAGCAAATATTATCATTTATGACACCATTTTAGTGGCTTATTAGTCTCCACTCTCCACAATGTCTGACTACAACCATTCCTAAAAGAAAAACACCCAGCTTTCATGTTCCTGTTCTCTGTAGCAGAGCATGAAAAAGAGCTTAAAGGTGCTTCTTCAGAAACAAGAAAAGAAAACCCAAGAGAAACAAGTAGTCTAATCTATGTGAATGAAGAAGACAATTCACACAGAAAAATTTGACCCTTGACCCCCAGTATGAATTTATTACTTGAGACGCCGACGAAAAACTACTAATAATTAGGGAGTAAAAAGAAGATGAAAAAGAACAAAAAAAAAAAAAGACTCATCGGTAAGTGAGCTTGGCTGTTTTGGTGCCTTTACGCCATGACCAAGATTCAGAAGGGGACTTGGGCAGAGGTGGAAGCAACACGGCCTTACGACAGAGGCCGAAAGGCCATCCCTCACAGTGGCAGAACTCTTGAATTATGGAACGCCTCTGAAACTCTTTCAAGTCCACCCCATTTAAGCTTGAGCTACGTGAGAAGCTTGATTTCACAGAAACAAACACATCCCTACTCGCAGCACTCGAACAGCATGAAAAACAGCTTTTCACGGATAAGAACTCTTCTCCTTCGCAGTCTACACCGTTCATGTCCTCTTTTTGTTCAATCCCTTTTGGTGTAATGTATAACTCTCTGGTTACTGTAGAATAGACCCAAGAAAAGCTATCTGACATCAGAAGGACGGGCTTCCTCCTCAACTTCTCTAATGCGCCGCTTCGAATTGCCGAAACAACCACCTGAAAACAAAGAAAGAAAGTTAAACAAGAACCCAATTTTCAGGAGAAAATATGAAGTTGAATGCGTCACTTGGGAGTAATGGTTAGTACTTCCTGTTCTTCATCGAAGTCACTTGTTGGATATTCCTCATCAGGGTTTGAAGTTGAAAGGCATCCTCCAAAGTCATGGCAATTGGAAAATGCGTCCTTCAAACATGCAGCGAGAAATTTGCATCTCTTAGAAGGATTTGTTGGCTCTTCTTCATGATAAAAGATGGTCATGTTTAAGAAGAAACTTAAGAGAGAAATTTGCTATTGATTTAGAGGTACAGATATATATATATATAAACAAAATTTGGAGAGATAATTCCTACTTGTTTTGATGTTTAATTGGACTTCCATTAGTGATAGTGGCCTTGCAGCTTATTTGACAACGTTGCTTACTTGCTTTATATCCTTTGGGGTAAAGGAAAAGTTAAAAGCACAAAACACGTTTCTAATAAATAAACCTTATAAATTCTATTTAAGAGATTCAAACGTTTGTTTCAATTACTCTATTATCCTTCTGAAGAACTTTACATTTGTTTGCTTCTTCCATTTTCTTTGCTTTAGGTCTTATTTTGTTGTTTTCAGTGGTTCACTTCAAGATAAAGTCATGGTGAAATAGGACGACATATTACCAAACTATGACTAAAATTGGACAAATGTGTTAAAAGATTTTATTCCTCTCATTGAAGTTATTTCAGTTGAAGATAATATTTAGACACAAACAAGTGAACTACAACCACTAAGCATCCGGGTCCCAATTCCTTTTCAATGGAAATCAATTAAAGGGTTTTTGAAATTTAGCCAAAAAAGAACAAATAAAATAGCCTATCCTCATAAAACCAGAAATCCAACAGACGAAATTGTTTCCTTATTGAACAAAAACTAAAAAGTAGTCTTAATGGCTTATATGTAAAGTAATTCTTCTCCTTCAAAAAAAAAAAAAAAAAAAAAACCCTGAAACATCATCAACCCAAACGTCTTAGAAAAGTGCATATCGCTCTACAGAGCAGAAGCAAAATTGGAGCCAAAAAAGGCTGTCCCATTGTGGTAAGAGCCAAATGATCAAAGCTTTACATTGTAACTATGACAATTCCTTACAAGAAAGTGTTTCTAGCAAAATCCCCACTTTCTTTCGGAAGGGCAAACAGATATTTACATGAATGAAACAACAGCCTCTCCAATAAATAGACTGCAAAATCTAGCACTCTTCTTCACTCAACAGATTTTGCAACCGCAAGTATGTTATCAAGCACTAGTTGAGAGAAACACGCAATACATCACAAAGCAGTGTTTAAATAAGCACATTAGCATCTCAAAGTACACAAGAAACTTGAATCTTTCGGAAGTAGACAATTAAAGGTGCAATTCAGTTGCCAGATCTCTGGAGTTGCTGAGAGGTTAGAGAGATGAGAGACCGTAGTTTAGCAACGGCAGAGGTCTTATCAGGTGGACACTTGGAAAGAGAAACGTTCAACGCATGAAGAGCCTCGTCAAGCTTGCCCGCAGCCAACGCAGAACATCCAGCCTTAAAGGCTTCATCAGCCATTCGGACATCATATTGCGCAGTTGAATTCCCATCAGAGCTCTTCTTCTTGCCTGAAGGGGAAGAAGATGCGGATGGGGATTGAAGGAGGGCAGTAGCGCGGGCAAGCTCTAGATTGGAAATGGCAGAATCAATCTCAGCCATTAGTGCTTCTGGGGTTGCTGGTATAGATTTGACACCATCAAAAACGTTCCAACGAGGTTTTATTTTCATTCCTTGTGCAGAAGCAGAAGTAGGACTAGGAGCAGAAACCATCTCCCTCGTTGGCTGCTGCGCTTGTGAATCTTGTGGTCCCACACTATTACGCCTTCTTCCCCACATAATCATTACCTTTAGAGAGAATTTGTCAAGTTTAATTCAACCCCATTTGCGAAATGAACTGGGAAAACAAAAGAAATCACGGGTTTTCAGTTATAAGAGCAAACATCAATCATGAGTTATATCTGGAACATCCTTGAATATGAATACAGAATTGTGTTCTCCTGAATTACAAAGTCAAATAAAAAAATTAAAGTATAATAATCAAGCTGTGTCAAATTTTTCATTTTTGTCGTGAACCTTTTTTAACTCATAACTAATAATTCAAACAAATTTCTTCTCGAGTTGTTTACTCGTCCCGTTCATATTTCTTTCAGAGATAAAACAATGTAAAAAGGGATTGTCGGAATAGGCCTAATTTTATCAATAGATGTACCAAAGATGAGTGTATTTGGAGTCGTGGCAGAAGTAGAAAACTCTTCCCAAACGCCAATTCTCACTGTATTTTGACGAATTATATTTTGTGTTCGGTTCCAATTCCATAGTTTTGCTCGTGAGTTGGGACAAGTTCGTTTCTTGGAGTTAATCTGAAATCTGAATGTTGAAAAAAAAAGGGAAGGAAAATGATCGATGATCATCTGCGACGGACACCATCGTAATAGAATCTGGACCCCTGGAAATGGTCCAAATCGTTTTTGAAAAATGACTTTTCGGGTAGTCAGAATCAGATAGGAACCCACTCCCACTACTCCATCTATTGATGGTGTCTATGTTCATTTGCATAACTCATAACTTGATGCGAGAAAAAAACACTCTAATAAAAATGTTGAATAAAAATTTTTGTAAAAAAAAACATTGTAACAATATGATTTAAGTCATAAAATGAACAAAAGTTAATTAACTCTATGCCATCAAAGTCCTTTGATTCAAAATGAGGCTGCACACTTAAGTACAAAGTGTGGATCCTATTTTGTATCGGGGTTGGAAGATTCAAATTTAAGACTTCAACATTAGGTGAATCTGAAATTATCACTACATTAAACCTGTAATTATTTTACTAGTTTTTTTTTTTAATTATCAAGTTTTTGAACAAACACCATCAAATGCACATAGGTTTTCTTTTTAATTTGAGAATCCTCCTATTATCAGCTAGAAGTATGTCCCTATTTTCTCACCAAACAAAGAATACATTGCTATCAAGCTTGAAGTAGAAAAGGTTTCAAGAGTGATAGAAACCAGCAAGAGAATAACAATTTTAAGAGAACCAAACAAGACATTGATCGATTAATGGAAATTATATTGATGTTATTAATGAGAAAATAGGAACGAAAATTATATTGATGTTACTAATGAGAAAATATGAAGGAATACAAGATGTGACCCCTTACACTCCCTAGAGCCAAGACTCGACTAAATTCTCACTGAGCAAGATGATGGTTACCCATCCCTAGGTCCTGCTCACATTTTATTCCCTGCTACTAACTAACTAACTGACCCCAATCTTAATGCACTCAGGCCTTTCACACGTTACCATCACTTCCTCCTTTTCCCCCCACATCACGGCTCCCAATCTCCTTTCCTTCTTCTGCCAACTCAGCGGTCCTATCACCCACCGAAACTGCAGGTGTCCCCTCCAACTCAGCAGCCCGGTCCTTACCCTTTTTCATACCAGCCTTTCTCTTGCGCGCGTAAGTGAACTTCAAAGGAGAATTTGACAGCTTGATTATTATACTTACTTGCGCGCGTAAGTAGAATTACAAACTCATTGGTCTGCAAGTTCGCAGCTATGGCAGCAAGCTTTTCATCCAAGGCAAGTTGTTGCCACAGCTCATCGGTGTCAGGGACAAAAGAGGCAGATAGTGCATTCAAGGCTCTTCATTCCGGCAGTCGTCATGAAGCATCCACCGCCTTATTCTCCAATCCGAGCATGTATTGTATCTCAAAGTCATAGCCGAGGAGTTTGGAGAGCCACCGTTAGTGGGAATCACCAACCACCCGCTGCTCAAGAAAGAATTTGAGACTGCATTGATCCGTGCGAACAATGAAATGGCGCCCTATGAGGTAAGGTATCCATTTATGGACAGCGAGTACTATCGCCACGAACTTCCTCTCGTACACAGACTTATGCCTTCCTTGGGACGACAAAGCTTGGCTAAAGTAACTTGGCTAAAGTAGGTGATGGGGCGCTGATTCTGCATAAGGACTGCACCTACTGCTACACCTGAATCGTCAGTTTCAAAGACGAAAGGCTGGGTAAAATCCGGCAGGGCCAAAACTGGGACTTAGGTCATTGCATCATTCAACTGGTTGAACGCTTCTGCCACTTTGCGTGACCAACAAAAATTGTCCTCCAACAAGTTAGTGAGCGGCCATGCAATAGAACCATAACCCGCCACAAATTTTCAGTAATAGCCAGTCAATCTCAAGAATCCTCGCAGCTCCTTTAGATTAGTGGGGGCCGGCCAATGTAACATAGCTTCTATCTTGGTGAGGTTGACTGTAACGCCCTTCTCGGAGACGATATGGCCCAGATATTCCAAAGAAGTTTGGCCGAAGCAGCATTTTTTCTCATTAGCATACAGCTGATGTCTTTGTAATTCCGCCAAAACCATATCCAGGTGTTCGGCATGCTCCTCGATGGTGCAGCTATACACCAAGATGTCATCGAAAAATACCAAAACGAACTTCTGAAGATAGGCCTGGAACACCTCATTCATGAGGGCCTGGAACGTGGCGGGTGCATTGGTTAGGCCAAAAGGCATCACCAAGAACTCGTAGTGGCTGCCGTGTGTTCGAAACGCCGCTTTGGGCATGTCTTCCCTTCGGACCCTGATTTGGTGATACCCAGACTTCAGGTCGATATTCGAAAAAATAATAGCCACATTCAACTCGTCCAGATGCTCATCAATGACTAGGATCGGGAAGCGGTCCGACACCGTTGCCTTGTTAAGAGCTCGGTAGTCCACGCAGAATCTCCAACTCACGTCCTTCTTCTTTACTAGCAAAACCGGGCTCGAAAATGGGCTCACACTTGGTTAAATAATTCCCACTGCTAACGTTTCTCCCACCAACTTCTCGATTTCATTTTTCTAGGCTTGCGGATAGCGGTACGACTGAACGTTGATAGGCGATGTCCCCTCCTTTAAGACAATGGCGTGGTCGCGGACTCACTCTGGAGGTAGTCCGATTAGCATTAAAAACACCCCTGCTCACCGCCGCAAAACCTCTGCCACCTATGCAGGCAATTCTCCACTCCCCACTTCTCCTTCCACTTGGTCCACCGTAATCTACTAAACTCCAACCATAGCCCTTGCCCTTCACGATGCAATGCCCGAATCATCACCTTTAGCGAAACTGGGATCTTGCAAAGCCCAGAATCGCCCTGCAACAGAACTGGAGTTTCCCCAACCTTGAATTTCATTGTTAGGGTTTTCCAGTTCACCGCCATAGAGCCCAAGGTTTTCAGCCGTTTCATTCCCAATATCACATCCGAACTTCCTAACTCCAAAGGAAGGAAATCCTCAACTATTTCAATGGATTGCAGTAAAATTCGCACCCCTCGGCAAAGACCCTCCCTTTTTACTGAAAGCCCAGTTGCTATCACCACTCCATAATTACCAGTCTTGCCCAAGGGTAAGTTGAGAGACTTTACCAAATCAGTCGAAATGAAATTGTGGGTTGCACCACAATCGATCAAGACAATGACCTCTTATGCTCCAATGGCCCCTCTTAATTTCATAGTGCATGATGTTGTCAGGCCAACCACGTAATTTAGGGAAAGCTCCACCAGCTTTTCCCCTTCCGCCGCGTCCTCCTCCTCAGTCCCTGGGTAGTCCGTCAGTTCCTCCCCCCTGACCACGAGCACTTGCAATTCCCGCTTCAGACAGCGGTGACGAGTGTATACTTCTCGTCGCACCGGTAGCATAGCCCTTTATCCTGTTTCTCCTAAAGCTCGACATCGGTAAGTTTCTTGTAAGAGGATGCGTCGCTCCCAATAGGTCTCTCCGCCAAGGAAGTGTTACGAATAGGGTTAGTGGAGACCCCTCTTGTAGCTTGGGTTTGTCCAATTTGTGAACCTCTAGCCCAAGGCCCAAGTGAGGTCGAGTGGATTCAGGTCTCCCTAAGGTGTTGGTTCCGGTCATCCATTCTTTGGGCCATCTCCATGATTCGGCCCAATCCAAAAGGCTTCATCATCCTAACTTCAACCTTCACATCTAGCTTCAACCTATTAATAAAGTGCCCCTCGGGCACATGTTTCGACATGTCCGTCAACGACGCCTCCATCACCTCAAACTGCCACCGATATTCCCGAACGGTGGTCTCTTGCCAGAGCACCAAGAACTTCTCGCACTAGCTTCCACCTGAGTCGACCTAAATCACTCAAGTATAAGCAGCTTCAATTCGGCCCAATTGTGGATCGCGTGCCTTCCATCTATCCACTGAAACCAGGCCAGAGCTTCTCCGTCCAAGCTGACCACGGCTGATTCTAGTTTCTCCACTTCACTCAAACGGCTCATAGAAAAGAACCGTTTAGCTCTGAATATCCATCCGTCCTGATTCAGGCCCTCAAAAACTGGCATCTCAACCCTCCGTACTCGACAATCGGACCGCACTTCCACCTCCTTGGAACTCAAGTTCTTCTCCGAACTCGCCCCGATCTCTATCGATTGGCCTAGCGGTGAACCAATCACCGTCGGGCTCTATTCCGACCAGACTCCCCTTTCTAACGCACCAGCTCGTCTAACTTCCCAATCACCACCCCAGACTCTTCTCCACCTTGAAAATCTTCAACAACTCTTCCTTGAAGCCCTCCATTTCCTTCTAAACCTCCTCACGCACCCCCTCAACCTTCTCGTCAACTTTCTTCGACGACACCATCCTAGATCTTGCTCTGACACCAATTTGATAGGAACCAGCAAGAGAATAACAATTTTAAGAGCAACTAACAAGAAATTGATCAAATCAACAGAAATTATATTGATGTTACTAATGAGAAAATAGGAAGGAATACAAGATGTGGGGATTTTCGAGAGACCCCTTAAACTCCCTAGAGCCAAGGCTCAACTAAATTCTCACTGAGCAAGATGATCGTTACCCATCCCTAGGTCCTGCTCACATTTTATTCCCTGCTACTAACTAACTAACTAACCCCAATCCTAATGCACTCAGGCCTTTCACACGTTCCATCACTTCCTCCTTTTGCTCCCACATCATGGCTCCCAATCTCATTTCCTTCTTCTGCCAACTCAACGGTCCTGTCACCCACCGAAACCGCAGGTGTCCTATCCAACTCAGCAGCCTAGTCCCTACCCTTTTTCATATCAGCCTTTCTCTTTCGCGTGTAAGTGAACCTCAAAGGAGGCCTATCAAAGAGAAACGAAAGGTCTAAAGTAGAAAAGAACGAAATTCAAAATCTCATGCGGATTTTGTCTCCTTGAAGCTTTTGCATTTGAACTCCCTTGTGCAAATAAACTGCATAAAAAAAAGGTCATTAAGCAGACCAAATGTTATCATTAATAGAAACACAAATATCCAAATTGATCAATAATCGGATCTTCAAAGAACAAGACCCACAAGGAAGAACAATTGATGCTGGCAAACCATCCCTTGTTTGCGGAGATATATTGCTCCCATCCCTCAACAAAGAATACCCCATTTTCCCCAATTCCAAAGAATCGACAGAGAAATAATCACCACATTGACACTGATAAAAAAGCTCAATGAAATCTCCCCCATCTTCAAAGGCCATATCTTCTAAGCTGACATCTTTTGCAGCTACAATATCATCCTGTCTTGAAGCCCGAAGCTCACTATCATAAAGTGCCCGCGACCTTGAATCACTGAGTATTTCCCAAGCCTTTTGAACCTTGAAAAACATATCCCCTGATCCACTCTCCGCTGGAGAACTATCGGACGCGTTTTGCAACTTATCAGGGTGAGTGTTGAGAATTGATGATCGGTAGCAACTGCGGATTTCTTCGTAAGTTGCATCCTCTTTCACAGATAAAATGTCATAGTAAGTTTCTTGAATGCAGCTCTTTCTGTGAAGCATGATTTTTTCCTTTTTTTGATTAGCTTTGCTGAAAATGAAGTGAAGACATCTTGTCAAAAGGTTCACTTGTGTTTTGAAAAAACAAAAAATGCCTCAGCAATGAGGTAGTAAACTGTCTCAAAGGAGACGCTTTCTCCCTAATTCAATGAAAAGAAGCTAATTTTAGTCACGCCAATTTCCATAAATAACCATACAATAATTGTATCATCATTCCTCTAACGTTGTTATTCACAATTAATATCTACTGCGTGGATTTATCATCAACAGACTCAACCTTTCGGTTATCATTCAATCATGCCCTTTTGTAAGTTTTGTAGAGACGCTAATCAAATGGCTTATAGTTTAGCAAAATACTCGCTCCAGAAGATGTTGAACTAAGTTGGTTGGAGGAAATTTTGCCACCAATTCAATTTGTTGCTGTATATGATAGTATTGTTAATTAATAATGGATATCTTGCTTTGAAAATGATAAAAGAGCCCTATTCTAAATCTCTCAAAATGCGACAACAAAATATTTATCTTACAGTTAAAAATCTAGTATGCAAACAAGTTTTCTTCTTCTTTTTCTTTTTTTTTTTTTTGAATTTTATGGGGGAAGTAAAGTTCTTAACATTTTTTTGGAGCTTCCTCCTATTCTTTTCAACATTTATTAAAATCCGAAGTCATCTATCAGATGCGACAATGAACATCTAATCCAATTACTTAAGTATTGAGAAAACGTTTGCAGTAAAATAAAAGAAAACGTTTGTGTTGAAGTTTGAGAATCATTGGAAGTTTTTCTTTTTTTTTTCGCACAAAGAAATGCCACTCACGTTCATATATAATTATATGCACACGAAATGAAACCAAAAGGGAACCAGAAAAACACACGAAACATTGAATCAGAATTTCCATAAGAAAAACCAAACCAAACAGCAGAAAATTTCAAGCCAACCCAAAGCTGCAATTCAAAATCAGACAACAGTAAATTCAAAATCTAGCTGAAGCAGCGCAATTCAACCTCGACACTGATAAATTTCAATCCGGCCGAACAATATTGAAACCTTGCTATCTAGTTAAAGAAGACAAAACGCAGGACTTTACCTGCAAATCGACACCAGAAGCGACCACGACCAAACACCTCCCCTTTTTCCTTCCTTCGAAAAGAAACAGTAAAGATCAAACCGAAAGCTGAAAGTTTCAGACAAAAAAGAGACCTTCAGTTGAGATTGGATCCAAAGATGGAACTTCCGATCGTGGAAGTACAGAAACAAGGGGACAAGCGGCGGCCGAGCTTGAGGCCGCGAGGAGTGGGGTCGGCGAAGAGCTTGTCGGATCCGTAAGGTTGGTGGTATCGATGAGGCTGCTGCGCTATTGGAGAGTGAAGGGCATGGCGACGAGGGTGATATCGATGAGGCTGATGCGGAGGAGGCGGCAACAGAGTTTGGCCATAGAGTTCGACAGCAGAGTGGACGTCGAGGTGGTTGTGGTGGTGGTCAAGAGAGGGCGGCGGCAGAGTTTGTTGAGAGAGAAGACGATAGAAAAGAAAGAGCAGAAGTAGAAACGTGTTTGTTAGGTCGAATGTTTATTTCTGACATGGATAAAATTTTTAATTGAATTTAACTAGGTGGAGGCAGAAAAAAGGACATAAATTTGAGACAATAACAATGCGATGTTCATTTATAACTTAAGTTTGAATTATGATTAAAATTGTGTACGTAAGAAAAAAAAATATTATAATAAAAAATTAAATTTAAATTTTTATAAGAGAAAATATTATAGCAATAAAATCTGAATTGTAAAATAAATAAGCCCTAATCATTTCGGCTAAGACTGGCAATTTGGTTCATAACACGAAACACGGCTCAAAATCTGCACGAAATTAGTAAGTTTAGGTTTATTATAAATAAATTTAGATCATAATTAGATTGACAAGGTTAACACGGTTAATAAACGAATTAGGTTAGTGGTGACATCTTAACACGAAGTGATATAAATTGACACAATTAATTACATGTATCATCTGCAATCTAATGATACGTGATATAACATGAAAATTTATATGACATGTTAAATACAAATAATATGTTAAATAAATTATTATTATATTAATTATTTATTTAATATTTAAATAAATATATTAATTTAAACGAATTACGCAAATTAACGCGATTAAAATAATTAATAAATAAATCATATTTAAGTTAATATTTTTAACATATTTAATAAATAAATTATATTTAAATTGATATTTTTTAACCCGATTAATAAATAAGTTAACGCAAACACTACCGAAATACCCCGTACCCATCTTTGGCAGATAAAGAACGACAGTAAACCCACAAACGACAACTAGATTACAAACGACAATCACATTGAAAAAAAGACGACAAGAACTGACAAACTACAATAACAAAATGAAAAACGGATACAAGTACGGTAACCTTAAGACATGACGTCAACTTTAGAAACAAAAGCAAAAAACCGACAATAGCATATCCTTGAACGGAAAAATGACCAGATCATCGAACGGCAAGAAACTGAAAAACGACATCTAAAACAAAAGAAGAAAGAAAAAACCGACAGTAGCAGATAACTACAGAAACATGAAAATAAAAGGAAATGGAAACAACAACTCTAAAAAGACAGCAGAAATTGTTAATGTAATGATTTTCTTTCGTAATTTCCTTTCCTATTTCTTAATTGTGTAGTTAATGTAACGGTTGACTTTAGATATTTCCTTATTTAATATTTTGTAATCTCTATATAAAAACTCTAAGAGCGTCCTGATAGAATATACAAAAATCATAGAAATAGAATTCTTTATTCTTCTTTATCTTGCTATCAGAGAAGGTTAATTGCCTCGAGAAAATCATAGAAATATAATTCGTTCTTCTTCTTCCTTATCTGAAGGTGAATTGCCTTGAAAAAAAAAAAAAAGGATTTGCCGAACCATTACCCACAAAATCATTACATATATCCTTCTGCAAAACATTACCCACCAAAACCAAGATTCTGCCCACATCCTTTGTCACAACTGAACCAAGCTTCATCGCGTAGTTTCGCAGTCTCCGTCGTGCAGCCTCGGTCGTGGAGTATCGCAGTCTCTGTTACGCGTCTGATTCCATTGCTGCGAGTTTCTTCACGCCAATTCCAGACACACGTGATCACCTCCATCTGAGCAATCTCACGAGCCAATCTCGGGCCAATCATGAGCAATCCTCCCACGAGTTTGTTCTTCTCTCTCTCTGTTGCTCTTCTCTCTTTTCCTTATTTTTCTTTTCATTTGCGCGGGTTGTTTTTTAGCAGAAAGAAAAAAATTCTTCCTATTTTAGATTAAAAAAAAAGAAAAAAAAAAGATGACAACTATTCAAAAAGAAAATGCTCAACCAATTTCAATTATACTTGATGGATATAACTATAATCGATGGGCGGCAACTATGCAGAGTTATTTAAAAGTGATGAAATTATGGCTTGTTGTCACTAGAGACAGAATAGTCCCAATCAAACAGACAGAAGAAATTGATGACAAGTATGCTGATCGACTCGAGGAATGAGAAAGTAAGAATCATTGGATCCTTACATGGTTCACCAATACTACTGTTCCCTCAATCAACATTCACTTTGGGCGTTTTGAACTTGCAAAAGAAGCTTGAGACTTTATTGTCACGCGGTATAATTCTACTACCATCTTTCATCAGTATCATCTTATGATTATTTTGTCCCGACTTCATCAAGAATCAAGTCAGTCAATCGATGAATTTCATTCCAAAATGCAACAGCTATGAGATATGCTTGAGAATTTAGAGCCACACTTTAAACATGAACAAGACATTTTTCTTGTTTATCGGAACTTATTCAATTTCTCATGGCTCTTCGAGATGATTTTGAAAATACCATGTCTTCACTTTTACGCCGACATCCTTTCTCAACCATGGATGGTGCACTTACCGAGTTAATCTCTAAAGAAACTTGGCTAGCAATGACTCAAGCTTATCATCGCGACACTATAGTCCATGTAACTCCAAAACAACACACAGGTTCTACTCAGGCGTGTCATAGATGTGGTCGAACTAATCATCTTTTGGCCAACTGCAAAGCAAGATTTCATTCCAACGGAACTCGTCTTTCTGATTACATGCTACGACGACTGTTACATCATCTTCCTCTATTACACTGTGTTCGCGATGTGGAAGGACTAATCATCGTGTCGAGCAATGCAAAGCAGTATATCATAGCAACGGAACACGCCTTTCTCGTTCTCGAACAACAACGGCTGTTGTCACAGCTAATACTGATTCTATCACTACCGAATCTTCTTCTCACAAATTTACATTCTCCAAAGACGATCTTTAGGCTTTGATCAATCAAGTAATGTCCCAATCTCACACAACTGCCATGTTTGCTGTCACATCAGGTAACACTTGGTTGCTCGATACTGCCTGTGAAAATCATATGACTGCTGATCCTTTATTATTTAAGAATACATTACATGTCTCTCATGATTCCATTATTACCATTGCCAATGGTTCTACCATAAAAGCCACCCATATTGGTAATATCGACACTCCCACTCTTTGTTTACCTAACACTTATCTTGTCCCAAACTTGAATTTTAATTTGATCTCTGTTGGCCAACTTTGTGATCTCGGTCTTGATTTACACTTTTCCAAACGATATGGTTGTACTGTGCAGGATCCTCGAACAGGTCAGAGAGTTGGGACAGGGTGTAAGATTGGAACGCTGTTTGAACTTGAAAGTCTAAAAGTTCCACAACACTTGATCACCGCTGCTACACCTCAAGCAACATCGTGTTAAAATTCTTTAGAGTTATGGCACTCTAGGTTAGGTCATGCTTCTTTCTCTCGAATAAAGTCATTAGCTTCTACTGGTGTTTTAGGAAAAGTTTCAAATAACAATTTTGATTGTTTGTCTTGTCAACTTGGAAAACAAACTGCACTTCCATTTAATAAAAATGAATCCTTTTCTGTTGCACCATGTGACCTGGTTCATTCTGATATCTGGGGTCCAACCCCCCAACACTAACTTTGAGAGGATCATGATATTTTGTTATTTTTGTTGATGATTTCTCTCGTTATACTTGGATATATTTTTTTAAACAACAAAATGAACTTTTGAAAATTTTTCATGATTTTAATATAATGATACAAACTCAGTTCTCTAGAAAGATAACAAAATTTAGGCCTGACAATGCGGGTGAATACACATCACATGAGTTTAGTAGTATTATAAAAAATGATGGCACTCTTTCACAACGATCATGTCCGGATACTTCACAACAAAACAGTCGAGTTGAAAGAAAACATAGACACATACTTGATGCTATTCATGCTCTTCTTGTTTCTTCCTCTCTTCCTGAACCTTTTTGGGGAGAAGCTGCTCTTACTGCAGTTTACACCATCAATCGTGTTCCTACACCAGTACTAGGTACACAATCTCCTTATGAGTGTTTGTACAGTAAGATTCCAGACTATAACTATCTTAAAGTTTTTGGATGTGCTTGTTTCGTCCTGTTACCTGATCATGAACGAACTAAACTTGAACCTCGTGCTCAGCTATGTTGTTTCTTGGGTTATGGTTTAGAACACGAAGGATATAGGAGCTATGATCCAGTATCTAAGCGTCTTCGTGTCTTGCGACATCGAGAAAACGACATCACATTAAAAATCGACAACAACTTTGGAAAAGGACAAGAATTGACTACAAACAGAAAACCCTCAAAAAGGACGGCTACTGAAAAATGACATCAATAAAAACTTTGAAAACACTATTTAGAATTACGGTAACGTAAAAGCACACATCAAGTGGGAGTCCATACACCACAATGCAACTTATTCTATAAGTTTTAACCACAATTTAAATTATTTTGCTGCAATATTTTTTCTTATAAAAATTTAAATTTTTGGATTAAATGACACACAATTAAATACAACGTCTGAAATCGTGGGAAGAAAGGAAGAAAAAAAAAAGAACAGAGGAAAAACTACAACTTGAAAAACGTCACATAAAGGGCATAGTTACAAACGACAAGATCAGACAAAAACGACAATACCAAAAACAATGAAAAATAAAAACGATAAGAGAAACTAACCGACTTTGGATCCTGAAAATTGAAAAGAAAATAAAATGGCAAACTACAGAAAAGTCTAAAAAAGAAAACTTTAGCAAAAAAGACAACAAAAAACAAAAACCTACAATAACGTAAAAAACAACCATGGAAAAATAAAACGACATCGATAAGGAAAACAACATCGACCTAAAACTTGCATCAATTGAAAAGAGTCGGCAATCTAAAAAGGTATATCACATTTAAAACGGGGAAAAAAAATTATGTCGTCCAAATCAGATGAACTAGAAAAACGACACTAACTCGTAAAACATTGGGTCAGCAATCTGAATAGGAGCATTATAATGGGCCAAAACTTGGAATAAACTATAGACTTCGTCTATAACCTGACAACCACGGAATGAAAATGAAATGACGAGCTATTAGAAAAAATAAAAAGCAAAAAACTGACAACCATTGATAAAATCAGTAAAATTTGAACACACGAAAAATGGAAAGCATATACATCCCGAAAACAAAAGTTCACCCGCTTACTTCTCTCTCTTTTTCTACAAGAAACCCAACCAAAGTTCCCAAACTACTGAAGTCCTAACGTACTTCCGATTTAAAAAAAAATAATAATAAAAAAGAAAAAGAGGTGATCAAACTAAAAGGAAAGTAGGAAAGTAATTGCATTCTTAGAGGCAATATAATGTTTGTTGGATCATAAATTTTGACCGTAGTAGTTGAACCAGAGCGAGCAACAGTCATTCAAAGGACAAGACTAAGAGTTAATTGCACAATGATCAGGAATCCACATATACCGCTGTAATCAATAGTTCATCAAATCAGCAATCCACATATAACTCTTCTCAACATCTAACAAGTTTCACCTTGATGACCAAAGACTCAAACTTCGCATCATGGGCACCAAGGCCACCCTAGTCCGTACTACAAAAAATGATTTAGCTTTTGTAAGCAAAAAATAAAAGGAGGTGGATACATACCCAAATGCCTTCCCTTCATGCTTCATCCACGTCCCCCCAGAACCACATAATCCCAACGAGAGCATAATACAGATATCAATGGACCTGAACCTTACAGTTCTATCGTGATAGTTTTAGAACATGACAGAATTGTGAGCACATAGCAGGCATAAAAGGTATTCCTGTTTTGTCGGAACAACCCCAATTATGCAGTGATGACACCAGAAACCCATGGCACAATCAATGGTGCGGTCAGATGGGAGTTTCGGTATGAGTCGGGATACTTGTCCTTGAAATTTAGTTTGGGCTTTTCAGCCTGCAGTTTGATGTTTCAGAACAAGACAAGTTAGACTGGAGTGACATTAGATAGAGTGCAAAGAGAAATATCAGCTTTAGTGAGGAAGAAGCTTCAAGTAAAGGGAAAGAAACAATGAGAACAAAAATGATGCTTACGTATTTCAGCCAGCACTCTTGATTTTTATGTTGATAGATGTCCGGAGAATGGCACCCCATTTCAGACGGGCAATAAACCCATATGTTGCATTTCTTCTCACCCGGCCTCGCGTGTTTAGCTTGATCAAAGCAAGCCTGGCAGCAGTCAGCTGCACTTTCTTTGTGGAAGGTAAGCCCCCATCTCACAGCAGCACCACCATAATCCGTATGAAGTTCAGCATGACATTCAAGTGGAACTGGTCTACCGGGTAAAATGTCTTCCTCTGTAAATGAAAAAGTAACCATCAATTAATAGAATAAACTACAGTCGGTCACAAGATGCAAAAATCTTTATCTTTCTGCACAAAGGTTTATAAGTGAATAATCGAATATAAAGGAGTGGTTGGAAAGAGAAATAGACTAATGACTACTGGGAAGAAGTAATATATTACCTGATTCTTCTTCACCATCAGGTTTATCATCATGTTCCTTGATTATTATTTCAGGAGGTATCCAAAGGCCAATCTCTTCTGACAGCACTGCCCAATTTGACTCCAAAGCTCTTACTAGCATCTCTAAAAAACGCAAAAGAATTGAAAACAAAAATTGTTCACTCAAATCAATGCATAACTCTGGTCCTCACGGAATATAGTACTACAGACAAATCACATAAAAAGTAAGATTCCATCGAGAAACAAACTCTATACCAGCTTCCTCATGTGAAATAGTTGAATTCGGAGCACTTCTCTCATAGGTCAACTTCTTAGTTTCGTTTAGCTTTTCCAAGCGCCAGCTTTCAACTACTTCTGTTATTAAAAATGAAAAAGGTAACAAAAATAAATCAGCAAGCTAACTAGAAACTATTACTCAAGGCTTAAGATCACCGCACTGGTTAACAAAATAATTAGCCACTCATTATGCTTCCTGGACAGTTAGAGAACTAAAATGGTCCCAGCAATGAATGAATAGCTTCAGAGACCATCATATGATGGGAATTTATTCTCATACTCAGGAACAAAATTTTAAAAGGGAAAGGAGGGTTGAGTTGGGGGCAGGGGAAGGGGAAGGGGGAACATAGATAGGCGACAAACAAATTCTGGTGGAAGTTGGAGTAGAGCCTTACATGGAAGGAACTTCATTGTTGCCTAATTGCTTTATCTAAGAACCTTACGCTATTAGCTTTAGAATTGATTGATAACAATGACGGCAGTGTATTGATAGTAAAAACAACAATGCTAAAGTAGCAATCTTGTGTTAGTGCCAGTTATGAGTTCTAGTGGGAATAACATCACAACAGAAATTAGAAATAGAAAAGGCAAGTCTCAAATGAATTAAAACTGTTAGTGGTGCAAGTGGCATTTACATTGGTCTGGATAAAATGTATAGTAGCACTGACATACTAGTCATCAGAAAACAATTATATCAATTATCAGATAGAGATAGCTCAAATGACAAAGGTATATGATGCCAGACACAGGGAGAAGACAGAAAGAAAGAGAAAGGAAGAAATAAATAGAGAAGAGAAGCAAAACAATTGAGAGAGAGTTCTACTTCTAAATAATTAATATCAATCATCAAGGTGGCAAGTGAAAATAGAATCACTCGGCTTATTTGTAGTTGAATAGAGCCTATAATAAGATAAACTCCACATAAAAATGAGATGGGCTTAATGAAATCCAAACTAAAAAATGAGAAATAAACTAGATTATAAACCCTGCATTTATGCCTAATATATCTAAGCTGCAATAGTGCTGGAATAGACCCAATAAAATTTCATTTCCAATGGGGAATGAAAAAAGAAAAAGAAAAAATAAAAAGTAATCTCATCTGCACTAAGCCGGTAATAAAAAAAAAAAGCTGGCAGCTGCCAAGCAGATTGCAATACATTCCACCATATAAACCTTCTAAACAACCTAGTAACCTACAAAATGGTTTTCCCTCGAGGGAAAAGTGGTTTCCCCCAAACTGGAAATGTGTTTGTCTAGAACCCATCCTCCACAAAGACGAAAGAATTTAACAACATCTGCTTTTCTTTAAACTACAACAGGAATTCACAAGCCAAACCTCAACAGCCACCCCAACCATAAACCGAAATTGATAGCAACTATGTTCAAAGAACATAATCGAATAACACTAACTATATCATAGTAATCATCCATGCAGAATACGACCATTTTCCATTTATGTTTGACACCCTTGTGGAAAGACTTGACATTTCATAAGTCACAATACTACATTCAAAATTTGCCTAGGAAAAGATGGCAACATGAATTAAAACCTTTACTTTTTTAATTCTTTGAAATGCAACCCAATGAGAGGAACACAAAGATTAATCAAAAGTAAGGCACTCTCACCTCTCTGTTCAGTAATATTAGGATTGGCACCCAAAGTTTTCAACCTATGAATAATGTCGTTTGAAATACTCTGCTTCAAATGCTTTGGCAGTTCAACAACCATTACTTCACTGGAAAGCTCCTTCTCAAGTTTCTTTACCTTTTAGCCACAACAACGAGTTTTCAAAACAATTTTAAAGACAGTCACAAGGGAAGAGATACCTCAAGCTATGCGTAATACAAAATAAGTTTAATCAACGATAAATCTTATCCCAGAAAAAGAATAGAACTTACCAATTTAACAAGCTCAACTGGTTCTGCTTCTTTGCGAATCCGAATTGATTCTTCCATATTCCTAATCTGATCTGGGGTGTACTTAACAACTGTGGAAAGCAAGAAAAGAAATCATAAAAAAAAATGGGGATAAAAGGAATTCCCTTAAACGAACAATAATTTATAGGTTAAACATTTATAAGACCAGAAATTGCAAGTGGGTTTTCACCGATTCACCAAAAACAGCAAGTTGGTTACCGAAAATGAACAAAAATCTTCAATAAAATCCGCCTCAAAACTCTAAATTAGGAAATAATAAGAAATGAAAGTACAGTTTGGGTTGAGTTGGATATATATAAAGCAATCCCTAGAAGAAATCAAGACACTCAAGAAAACCAGTGTGTGTGTAAGAGAGAGAGAGAGAGAGAGAGAGAGATACCTGGACTTGAATAGGTGTCGGAGTAGATGTAAAGAGAGGCGTAGAGAGAATGAAGAACGTAAAGAGCGACGACAATGTTGATGAGGCAAAGGATGAGAGTGGTTCTCTTGTACGAACAATTACAAAATCCTGCTCCTACTCCTCCCCATAATTTCCTTTCTCTTCCTTGATTTCCCCACTCTCCCCTCGCCATCTCCCTCTCCCTCTCCTTCTCTCTCCCTCACCCTCATCCCACCATTGATTTCCTCTCTCTCTCTCTCTCGAGCTTCTTCTTTTCTTCTCTTTTACTATTTCATCAGATCAACCAGATAGATAGATAGATCAACAACGGAAGCACTCAGCTTCAGTTACAGAACACGCCTTTTCCTTCCTTTCTCAGAATTATAAAAAATAAAAATAAAAATAAAAAAGCAGCGAAAATTGTGCTGTGGATTTTTCTTCTTCTGCCTTTTCTTTCCCCCCCGAGACGACCTAAAAGGCTAAATCGATGATTTGCACTGAGCTCGAGCTAGTATAATGGGAAACCGGAATTAAAGTTTTTTTTTTCTTTTTTTTCTTTTTTTCTTTTAGGATTTTAAAACTGATAAATGATTTGATGATGATATCGATGAGCTATCTATCGCGGCTTGCTTAGAGGAAGTATTATTGTAAAGCAGGATCGGCCTGAGTTTTCCTCTTTTTCCTTTATTTTTATTTTTATTTTTTTATTGTCTATTTTTATGTTTGCCGTGATTGTTGGACTTGGTGGGGGTGGGGGTGGGGGAGGCCCGGAGGGGTGATCAAGCTCTGTGCCTTGAGTTGCAAGGCACGTGCTAACGTGCGCTTGGGGGTGTGGTGCCCGTTTCAATATCATTTGGAAAGATGTTCGCGACACCACTTATGTCAAGTATAATGATATCTTGATTTATACTTCTTATTCTTAATTAAAGTCTCATTTATTTTACCGATTCGAGTTTAGAATTTAAATTTTTTTAGTAAAAAGTTCTCAGAAACAGTTACATTTAACTTTGTTACTACAATAAAAAACTCTCACATAAAATCACATATCAACTCGAATCAGCGAAATAAACGGACCTTAAAGACATGTTTAGTTCATGTATTTAAATTATGATTATTAATTCTAGAGTTTGAAATTTAAATTTTTATGAGAGAAAAATATTATAACAAAATTAAAAATCATAATTTGAACGCAGAAAATAAACGAGCCTTAATTTTTTTTAAACTAAAAAGATATTATATTAATCAATAATAAAAGTTAAAATTTCATACTCATACACTTTAAAAAGTATGTCTTTTTTTCTCACAACTATTAAAATCTGAGTCTATAAGTTCATGACATGAGGTATATGTTTTTAATTAGAGTATGTGCTTAATCTTAACAATATTTTACAATGTTATTTTTCATTTATTTTTTTCTTTTCCTCTCTTTAAACTTTTTTTTTTTTTGTAGTTTTAGCATGGAGTTTTTTTTATTAGAAAAATGGAGTGGAGTTATATAAAAGAAAAATATTTAAAGACATTGTTAGTGATAAGAGACACCACCCTTAATAAAATATGAGTATTGTTGATGATGGAATTTCGTCAACAAGACCTTACCGAATTACCTCACGGTAGACCGTTGGGTTACCGGTTTGGAACTTATGATTTCACTAAATATGTTGGAATTTGTGGTAGCGTTTTTGTTGGGTTGTGAAGTGAGATTATGCTTATGAAAGTAAGAACGCACATGAATTTTATAGTGGTTCACTCTGTTAATCAAGAGCTACATCCACTGTATTGTATTTCTCTTGTCTTTGTTCTTACAAGTTACATATGCGTAAGGAAAGAATTCATCATCCCTCTCTCTCTCGGGGGCTCTTCCCTTTTATAGTGGATATTGCATAAGTCTCTGCCCCATGGTAGGCGGTTTGGACTATTGGACCGTGTCCTTCATGAGGCCCGCCCACTCGAGTGGCCTATGGCCTCTTTTGTCCAGACCGTAGCCTGCCATTACATTTTGGACTGTTCACTCATCCAATTTGTCTCCCCATTACGGCTCTGTAGATCCCTGTAACAACTAGTGATCCGTTCCAGGCAGTTTTAGGGGCTTGTAATCATTTCCTATGCAACTGAAATTCTCCAAATCTAGACGCAACCTTGGGATATTCGGCTGGTCTTCTCAGGGGTCTTCCTTGGGACGTGGATCCAGTTGCTTGTGCTCTGCCGTCTGCGCCTATACAAACATCTGCCGAGGGTACCTCTCCTACGGTCGACTTTATTGCGTTATTTTGCCCGGGCTAGTCTTGCAGACCTCGACTGTATATAGGATCGACGGTCTCGGTCTTCTTATACATTTGGCTCTCCCGCCATACAGGAGAGACAAATGAGGCTCGAGCGTCAATGGCTAAATGATGTGGCAGGTATGGGGCCACGTGTGGCCTAGTCATTGTCTGACATGTCTGACGGCCTCGACCGGCTGAGACGTCGGCGGTGGAGGCTGAGCCATCACCGGTAATTGATATTACCGATGCCCCTGAGGCCCCTCCGCCCCAAGAACGCCTGCTACTTCTCGGGGAAAGGGTCATTGACCCACAGTTTATCATTCCCGATGTTGCTTCGGCTTAGATTGAATTGGCACTGAGTCTGCCCCTGCACTTTTTCATCGTCTTCTAGGCTTTGTACGAGTCATTCTTTTAGCAGGACTGGGAGAGCACGACTTGGGCTTCCTTGATCGGCTGTACGCGCCAACAGATCTCTCTCCAGATCCATGTATACTTCACCGCCTATGTGTCATGCATTTTTGTCTTTCTTTTTCTCTTATTAATAGATTCTTTTTGACTTGGCAGTCCCTTGTCATCTCTCTTCTTAACTTTATCGATATGGTTAAGGTGGAAGAGAGAAGTAGGGGAATGGACCGCATCGAGGGGCGTTTGAAGGCTCTCCTAAAAAAGGAAAGAGACAGTAAGGAGGAGACTTTAAAGAAGCTTACCCTCGTTGCCAAAGAGCCGGAGGAAGTAAAAGGGGATCTGGAGCGTGCCCGGAAGGAGAACGAACTCGTCCGTAAAGAGGCTGCCGACTCCAAGAATGCCTTCCGAAATGAGGGATACAACCTTTGTAAGCAGGAGGGCTATGACCTGGGTAAGGTGGAGGGTGTTAAGGAATTTGTTGCTTCCGCCGAGTTCGCTCAGAATAATGCGGTCATCGCTACTAAGGCCGTAGAGGATTTTAAAGACTCTGAGGAGTTGCATGATATGCGTGCCAGTGATATGCTGTCTGTTGGCAAGCAGATCGTGGCAAGGATTAACAGGCATCTGCCTGGCCTCGACTTTGACTTCCTCTATGAGCCCTCTTCAGACGACGAAAGTTCTCTTGCCGAAGGTGGGGGCGACGAAGGCAACGACGGATCTGGGGAAGCGGCGGATGATGGCTGCGAGGGCAGCCAAAGTGGTGGAGGCGATGAAGCCTAGGATGCTAGGAGTCGAACTATAACTTCTTTTTTTTTTGTAACCTTGTTTCAATATTCAGATAATGGATTATATATATACATATTATATATATATATATAAATATATTTGTTATATACATCTGATTGCCTTCATTTTTCAAGTCTTACTAAAATTCTGCTAAGCAAATTGTCTCTCTTCCTTGAAGGGGGCGATGTCTCATTTTACCCCTTAGGGTCGTCGTTTTAGCAAATTCCTTAAAATTTACTAAGTAAATCGTATCTCCTATTTGAGGAGGCGACGTTTTATTTTGCCCCTTAGAGTTATCGTCTTGGCAAATTCCTCAAAATTTACTAAGTAAATCGTCTCTCCTCTTTGAGGAGGCGACGTTTTATTTTGCCCCTTAGGATCATCATCTTGGCAAATTTCTTAAAATTTGCTAAGTAAATCGTCTCTCCTCTTTGAGGAGGCAACGTTTTATAGGGTATGCGCATGTTTTTTGTGAACCGTAAACCCTTTACTCCCCCATGTATGTTTAAAAAACTTTAGGTAGACATATTTAAGGGGTTGATTTTTAGACACATGCTATGAATAAGCTTCGTTTGTATTAATGAAATGCCAAACACGGTTAAAGTATGTAAGAATTCGTACACTATTGGTAGTACAGTTTTAACTGCTCTGTATTCCATGGATGTTGAATTCGTTTGCCGACGAGGCTTTCCAAAATGTAGGTTCCTGGGCGTAGCATCTCCCTTATGCAGTAGGACCCTTCCCAAGTCAGGCCCATGGGGCTAGTATTTTTTGGTTTAGTACTCTGTGTCACCTTTTTTAACACCAGATTTCCTGGGACAAACCTTCTTTGTTTGACCTTCTTGTCGTAGTATCGGGCTGTCCTTCTTTGGTAAGCGGCGAGTCGTAATTGGGAGTCGAGTCTTTTCTTCATGGTATACTTTAGGATTTTATTGATGGCCTCCACTTGGCCATTGGACTGTGAGTGTATTGGGGCAGAGAAGTCATTTCGTATGCCTAAGTCATCGCAAAACTTACGCGTTGCAGCGTTGTCGAACTGCTTCTCGTTGTCAGACACGATTGAGTGCAGAACACCGAATTTGCATATAATGTTGTTCCCTATGAAGCTGGTGTAGGCTGCCTCGGTATTCGAAGTAAGAGCTTTCACCTCGGCCCACTTGGTGTAGTAGTCCACAGCGACGATGGCGAACTTAAGGCCCCCGGGTGCAAGGTGTAGAGGTCTGATCAGGTCGATCCCCCATTTGGCAAAAGGTCATGAGCTAAGAATGGAAGTTAGGTTCTCTGAGGGCGCTCTAGGAATTGTGGCATATCGTTGGCACTTATTGCAACGCCGAGCGTATTGAAACGCGTCTTTTTTAAGCGTAGGCCAATAGTACCCGTGCCTCAAAACTTTAAGAGCTAGAGATTGCCCCTCGGTATGATTACCACACACTCCTTCATAGATCTCCCTGAGGACCTCTTGCACCTTATGATCATTTAGGCACCGCTGTAAAGGCGTTGAGAAGCCTCGTCTATATAGCAGACCGTCATATAGTAGGTATCTGGCGGCCCTATACCTGATCCTTATGGCTTCATCTCTGTCATTGGGCAACTCTGCGTTCATCAAATACTGGATGAGGGGTGTCATCCAGTCTCCAGCTGTTTGGATAGTCAGGACTTCTGCCGCCTTGTCAATGGTCGGCCGTTCCAATTCTTCGATGGGGATGACCTCTACTAGGTCCGAATCCTTTGACGACGCCAGCTTGGCCAGGGCGTCGGCGTTTGTGTT